TATATTGCAGGAACTTTTGCTTTTGCATATTTTTAAGAAAAATTAAGAATAAAACTATAAAATAAAATGAAAATAAAAAACAAAAATAAAGATTGAATACAGAATTTATGAAACTGATTGCTAAAGACATGATTTAAATTTATTTAAGAACATTATAAGGAATCTACATAATTGTGAGAATGAGCACGGAGATTATATGATGAGAAGTATGTGTGTGTTTCTGTAGAATGTTATTCAATATTTTCTACACATAGGTTGCATGTTATATGTATACACACAAACACACAGACTCCTAATATAGTGGAGTCAAAGGGCTAGCTTTCTCTGGTAGTCTATAACTGTTTTATTGTTGCTTGACTATTTTTTGACAGGGTTTCTCTTTGTAGCCCCGTTTGCCCTGGCAATCACTCTGTAAACAAGACTGACTTTGACCTCACAGAGATCTGCCTACCTCTGTCACCTGGATGCTAGGATTAAAGGTGTGCCACCAGCACCCAGTGTAGACATATAATTAAGTGGTGACAATTTTTCTCTAATTGGGGGATCCAAGAAGGCATCATGAACATTTGACTTTATGGGGTTAATTCTTGTACTGTAGAAAAGCAAACTCAGTTTTCAGAACTACAAAGTAAGGACCATGGCGAATAGAAGCCTTGTTCATTCCATGATCAATTCAATATTTTTATTTATTTACTTCTAGTAAAATACATATAAAATTAACCACAAGTGCATATTTTAAAAATTTTAATATTTTTGTATATGAGTGTTTTCCCTGAATTTATGCATGTGTATCATGATGTAACTGGCTTGCTTGAAAGCCAGAAGATGGTGTCAAATCCTCTAACACTGGAGCTTCAGGTGGTTGAAAGGCGCTAGGAACCAAAATGGGGTCTTCTAGAGGAGCTGTAAGTGTTCATAACCATCAAACCATCCCTCTGGCCCCCAGAAAGTATGTTCTAGTTATTGTGTATAAAACCTTTTACTTTATTTTTTCATATTTTCAGATGACATTAGCAATTTTAAATAAAATTCTCAATGATACATATTTTTAAATCTCCAATTAATTAATTCATTCAAGAAAATTGGACAGATTGTTAGTTAGAAAGTTAATTACATACTTTTTAAATTTACAGTATCTTTTATCTAGACTGACTTTGTCTAGATTTTTATGCTTCAAAAGAGATACTTTCTTTGTCCGAACTCTTTACAAAATGTCATCATGTGTGTATGTGTGTGTTGCATGTTGTGTGTGTGGTGTATGCAGATAACTGCTAGGGTACTCCACAGAAACCAGAGCAGGAGATTCAGTGTCTTCCCCTGTTACTCTCTGCCTTATTGTTTGGAGGCAGGGTTTCTATTGAACCTAGAGTTCCCTGTTTCCTCCAGTCTGCCTAGAGAGTGAAATTTTGAGATTCATCTATTTAGCGTTCTAGTGCTGGTGTCACAGGAAGGGTCAGCAACAGCTCAGTTTTGTTGTTGTTGTTTGTTTGTTTGTCTTTTATTTTGCTTGTCAGTTTGTTTGTTTAATGTGGGTGAGGAGTATTTAAGGTTTCATGCTTTCGGGGCAATGTCTCCTATTCACTGAACTATCTCTCTAGTTGCGGATGACAACTCTAAATAGCGTAGTTATAATCGTAAGCACAGATTCTCCACAAAGTTCCAACGCATAACATTGTGGAATAATGCAAAATGGTTTTAAAGATTTTGTTCCACAATTACTCTATATTTTTACATTCCTTTTACTTGAAAAGATAGTCTCAATGATATATTCTAGAGGATTTTATAGACTGTATAGGCTCCCCATCTTCCCATTCACGTTTTGAAATTCTAGAACCCAATGCCCGCTATGTGGTTTTATTTGAAAATATGACTTTATGCTGGCTAGTTTCATGTCCATTTGACTCAAGCAAGAATTATTTGAGAAAAGGGAGCCACATCAAAAATGCCTTTATAAGATTGTGAAATGTCTTTTCCTGTCTTGCCAACCTGTTCCCAAATAATGGCACAAAGACTTCTTATTAATTATGAAAGGTTGGCCTTTAACTTTTGCTTTTCCTCATCTATCTTTTATAACTTAAATTAACTTATAGCTATTAATCTACATTCTACCATGTGGCTTTCTTCCTTAACCTTTTCTCCATTTTTCTATATCCAACTTGTTCCACGGCTCCTGGAATCTCCTTAGTGTAATCCATACATCCTAGATTTCTTCTCCTCTTCCTCTCTTTCCTCTCTTTCCCTGAAAATATGGTTTATCTCTCCTGCCTAGTTATTGGTCATTCAGCTCTTTATTAAACCTATCACAGCGACACATTTCACACAATGTAAACAAATATTCTGCAACATTATATTGCATTTAGTCAATGTAAGGTATTTTCTTTATTAATGGTTCATGGGAATGGTGGGTAGCACCCCTGGGTTCACAATCATAGATGGTAAAAGAAATCAGGTAAGCAAATGAGGAAGCCAGTAAGCAGTATTCCTTCATGGCTTCTACTTCAGTTTCTGCCTCCAACTTAGTGCCTCAGGTTCCTGTCCTAACTTCCTAGACTGTGATGTGGAACTGTGAGCTAAAATAAACCTTTTCTTCTCCGAGTTCCTTTGGTCATGGTGTTTCATCACAGTCATAGAAACCCTAACTAAGATCCTCTTATTCTCAGCTCTGAAAACATACATACAAGTCTCATTATTCAAGTAAAAGAAGAGTAAAAATACAGAGTGATAGTGGAACAACATCCTCAAAACCGCATTTTGCATTATTCCACAGTTTTACGTATTGGAAGTTTGTGGAGAATCTGTGCTAATGATTACAACTGTGCTATTTAGAGTTATCATTGGGGACTGGAGAGTTAGTTTAGTGAGCAAGAACTGTTGCTCCACAAGCATGAGACCTGTAATTTAAATACTCATCACCCACATTTAAAAGCAAGCAACAAACAAAACAATCAGCAACTATACAAGTTAATTATATTTATGAATACGTGTGTGTATGCATAATGTGGATAATAAAACTTAATGAAAAAAAATGCAGTTTGAAAGATGGCGAGGAGAAATACATGGGAAGTTTTGAATGGAATAAAGTTAAGGGAGGCCGTGCGATGGTGGCGCACGCCTTTAATCCCAGCACTCGGGAGGCAGAGGCAGGTGGATCTCTGTGAGTTCGAGACCAGCCTGGTCTACAGAGCTAGTTCCAGGACAGGCTCCAAAGCCACAGAGAAACCCTGTCTCGNAAAAAAAAAAAAAAAAAAAAAAAAAAAAAAGAAAGTTAAAGGAGAAACAATGTAAATATATGCTAACTTCAAAAATAATATAAAAAGATTAAATAATGTTTTATGATCTAACAGGTGCCCTGATAAGAGGAAGATAGCAGGAATGTATGCAAAAAGAGCAGGTTGGGAGATAGAGAACATGGTCACTCTAAAATGTAGGTGAGAGACTTCAAGATTCCCAGTCTGTCTGTTTTTCCATCTTCACCTCTAGTAAAAAATAAACTTTTGTCATCCAAATATGTAGCCAGCCTTATTACTTTTACCCAGTACAAACACACACACACACACACACACACACCAATAAATCCCAAGAAGCTACAATTTCTTATCACTGCAGTTAATTGTTCAATAAAGAGGACAAAATTAGATCTTCCTCAGAGAACACGGACCTGCTCCACATTACGTATGCCAGTGTGAATCAGGCAGAGAAGAACGAGTGAAAAGTCAGCACGTATTAACACCAACAGACACAATAATAACCAAAATAATCTCAGAAATTACAAAATGAAAGTGTTATCCAGGGCAGAGCTACAATTATATTAGAACTCTTGACTACACATAAAGGCAAAAGATGTACATAATTTTAAAAGCTATATTAGGAAACTCTTTAGTTTAAGAAATAAAATGGCTGAAATAGGATAAGCCTTTAATGCTCACTTGGGAATGCTGGAACATGGTTGAAATATTCAAGTTATTTTTCTATTGTTCAGTGAAGTGTTTCAGGCCATCCTACTGAGCACATCATGTTCAATCCCTAATGCAGATAGATTCAGTTCCAATTCATTTCATCCTGTGCTTTACTTACTTGGATCCTACGGAGACATTTTTGATGCCAGATACTCTCAACTTCCCCATGTTTTATTTTTGTCTATCAGTTCCTCTCTGTGGAGCTTGCTATTTGGACTGACTGGCAATAAGTTGAATTTAAATAAGCAACATATATTTAAAATTCAGAGGGTCAGTGATCATGAAGCTGGAAAGCCAAGGAAAATATATATTTAACATTTGCATAAATGACTTCTAAGCAGCTGATTGATTTTGACCTTTAGGAAGATTGGTTATGTTATTTTTTTAAGTCTCTCATACTTTCAGGATGTTGATAGCTGATCCAGATAGAAAATTATGTTCTTTATGGACACTACTGAATATTGATTACTAATTCATACTGTGTATCAATTAAGTGGTAGCCAAAGGATTGAGTTTGCTCTGGAAATCAAATTAATTGAAGCTTTGCTTCACGTAGGAATGAGACTATAAAAGTTATCTTTTATCCTCTCATTTAAAAAGTAATAGAGAGTGGAAGACAGATTTAATGTTTTTTGCACTTATTTCTCTGTGTTCTTTGCTATTTTATATGTTAAGAAAATATTTCAGTCATGCCCTGTTGTTTGCATTCTGAAATCCTTAGTTGAAGTAAGACAAAAACTAAGGAAGAAAGATAGAATTAGTGAGCCTGTGGATGGGTACTGGTAGAGAGGGAAACTTTCTTGCTATTTAAAGTGCATTGGTTTATTAATTAGGCTACAATGTATACCAAGAGTTCCATTTAGTTATCTTAATTATCATAATACACATTTCTAATATATCTTGGAACTGGGAGCTTAACAAAAAATACTAAGAGCCTTTGTTAAATTTAACATTCTTCACTATGATTCTTTGGACTGTATAGGAATATTAAAATCCCCAACTAAGTTCCTTCCTTTTCTTCTTCCGGGGACGGTGCTTAGAGGCACTCAGAATGGTCCAGCTTTTGACATACCGTCGTAGGCTCTCCTACAACACAGCCTCCAACAAAACTAGGCTGTCTCGAACCCCTGGCAACAGGATTGTTTACCTTTACACCAAGAAGGTTGGAAAAGCACCTAAATCAGCATGCCGTGTGTTCCCAGGCCGACTCAGAGGGGTTTGTGCTGTGAGACCGAAAGTCCTCATGAGATTGTCGAAGACAATGAATCATGCCAGCCGGGCCTATGGTGACTCCATGTGTGCCAAGTGTGTCCGTGACAGGATCAAGCGGGCTTTCCTTATTGAGGAGCAGAAAATTGTTGTGAAAGTGTTGAAGGCACAAGCGCAGAGTCAGAAAGTGAAATAAATCTGTGGCTTTTCTAATAAAGGTCAAGGCTTGGTTAAAAATAAAATAAAACCCCCAACTAAATGACTCAAATTCTTTTTCCTTCTAACAATTGCTCATAATGTATTGCCACCTTTTAGTTTGTATTTAGGAAGGGTATATTTGGTCCTGGGGTCAAGGGACAATATTTTTATAGAATTCTAGAGAGTAGCATGTGGTGAGTGTGCGGTTACTAGTTAAGGTCAATAGTCCTGCAGAATAGAAACTGACTCAGAGAAAAGGCCATCATAAATGGTTAAGGTAAAAATTTTTGAAGAGCAGTCACTGGATAGATCTGGAGCACCAGTGCTTCAATGCATACAAGAATTAAGAAGTCATGGCAACTAACTCCTTGAGCATGCACGCTGATGGGTAGGTGTGATCTGAGGGATGCAAGGAAATTCTTCTGATTACTATCATTTGCTCAGAGAAACGTTAGGTGTACTCTCCATAAATGAGTGGCAATGCCAACAAAATAGATATAGAAGTCAAAGAGGAGAGAGATTGCAAAATAGCTGAGAAAATTCTTACTGCATATCCTAGAGACTGATGTATATTTATAAATGTTAGCCTTTCTGTTTCCATTAGGGAGGATGTGCAGGCATGCACATAATCTCTGGGGACTGTGAATCCATTAACATTATTTCATTTATGAAATCTTAAATGATACAAATAATATCACATAAAAATTTAGAATTTAGATACTCAGTGATAAAAATCAGTATACATCTAGTTTTACTGCCAATTCTAAGGGATTTAGGGGTCACTAATTCTATTCTTATAGGAAGAAGAAGAAGAAGAGGAAGAGGAAGAGGAAGAGGAAGAGGAAGAAGAAGAAGAAGAAGAAGAAGAAGAAGAAGAAGAAGAAGAAGAAGAAGAAGAAGAAGAAGAAGAAGAAGAAGAAGAAGAAGAAGAAGAAGAAAAGAAGAAGAAGAAGAGGAAGAGGTAAAAGAAACAAAGAAATTCAACTATCTGGAATTCTGTGACTTGCCTTAGCCCTGCCAAAGAAGTGAGGTAACAGGGTTACTGACAGCCTGAGACATAAAGAGAGACTCATGGCCAGAGGCTTGGCTGATATACGGTCACTCAAAGCACAAGTCACTGCAACCATCTTCTGCTCAGAATAAACAGTGATCATTTAAAAAAAAAACTGATAAACGCTGTTTTGGTCCAATATGAGAGTTAGAAACTCTTCTGGGCTGGATCAAAGTACTCTAATGTAAACACTATCATTATCTCAGGACCCCATAGTGAACATGTGGGAAATTTTCTAATATATCAATACAGAAAAGGGTTCACAGTCCTTGTCAGATACCCTCAGAATAGTCTTCATAAAAATGACACAATCTTCAGCTTTATTCCAACTGAAAAAGATATTTCTCCTATTGGAACTTTTTGTCTCACAAAGAGATGAATGAAAAACACCAGAATTGACAGGGTTCAGAGATACACAGAAGACTGAAAATAAGAAGGTAGCTAGTAAAAAGATGGAAGGATGCCACAAAGATGAATAGAGGTCGTAGCCTGGACAGACAGACTCAACTAAGACTGACACATAACAGAAACATTAGATAACTTTGCAATACCCCCACCTTACCTTCTTACCAACAAGGTTTTATGTTAGTGATGGATTACATTAGCGGGAGATGGAAGATTCTGCTTCTTTTTGATGGTTAGTGCTGGGGAGCCCCAAAGACAACAAAAAGAATAAAGAAGTACAATAGATGAATTTGGATTTCTGACTCAGATAGAGGTAGACACAGAATAAAGACAGACTAGAGGATTAACATAAATCATCACACTGTATGTGACCATGTGTCCTGTAATAGGACCATTGTGTCTCATTTCAACAATACAAAATCATGTCATATCTAGAGGTAGGGAAAATCAGCCTAGATGGGGAAAGAAATCCACCTTTAGAGACACATTCAAATGTGAAGCAGATAGAATCATCATTCTGATAACTTCAAATTATGAGATTTGAATGATACAAATAATCATTTATTAATGATTAATATATTAGGTGTTCTAACAGAGATTATGTGGACCATGGATTATCTGGATAGACAACGTAAGCAGAGAGTGGAAACACTAGGAACATATTCAAAAATAAATGCTAAATGTCAGAAACAGTGAAACTGGTATAGAGTTGCAGGATCAGCTTATCAGTAGCCTTTATATGACAGAGTGAGGATTTGAGACTGACTAGCAATGGAAACTTTTTTCTCAAACTGAACTACAGAAAGAAAAGGGGTGGATTAAAGGCCAAGCATTAATAAGACATGGAATTTAAAAAGGAAGTGACATATTCTTGAGAAAACAGAAGAAAGAACAAAATGAGAGAACTATTTGAAATGATAGCCAAAAAGTTTCCACAATTAATGTCGACACTGAACATAAACACAGACAATATAACTATACATTTATTAGAAGCAAACATAGAAGAAAACCATGTTGGCTACACTGTTATGAGGCATAAGAACAAGACTGCAGCTATAGTGTCAGAATAAATACTTAAACATTGTGTATCAGATAATGGATGGGTGTCTTAGATTGCATTTAAAACCCCTCAACCATCAAAAAACATGATTTCTGCTTACCAACTGGGCAAAAGGCATCAACAAACAATGCCCTCAAGGGTCCTCAAAGGGAAATAAATGAAAGGCAGGATGCTCAGTGTGATGACCAGAAACATATGTTGACATGTTGTTGCAGTCAATTTTATTGACTGATAGTGATTTTTGTTTGTGCCCTTTGTACCTTACAGGACTTTCTCTGTAAATGGTTGTCATTTATTTGCCATTTGAACACATCATGGTTATAGTTTCCAGTAGGAAAACTGCAAGGACTTTCTACATACTTGGAGCACACACTCTTTTCTTCTCGAATAGAGATAGCTTTGTGGTTTTCAGATCTCATGGATGGTAGTGGACAAAGGACAGAAAATGTGAGTCATGGAAGCAAAGCATGTAGGTCTATTGGGTAAGGGCTTGAATTGGGACTTTACATCCAACAGATGAAGGTGGGTAGATGAGCTTACTTAATTCAGGGAAGCTCCCAAGAAAAACAAAAAGAAGTTTGAAACAACTATATTCTGGCCAAGAACAAAGCATGTTCATTTAGCTGAAACCCCTACTATTTGGTACTTTGAAACAGACCATATTATTAGGAGACAGTAACTGTATGTGAGTCCACTGAATGTATAAAAACTCAAGCTGAGAGGTAGTTATGGGCACCCCATTTTGTAATTTTTTCTACATTTATATTTTAATTTGCTTTAAAATCTTTAATACAGTGGATTGAAATAATTTACATGGTAGGCTGGTGCATTCAACTAAGAAACCAGACTGTCTGTGCTCTTCGTAATTGCATTCTTGTTCTACCTTACTTTGCTATTTCAAAATAAATTCTTTTGTCAAATTAGGGAGATAATTTCCTCATCATATTAAAATAATTTTATCTCAACTTAATGGTTTTTAATGCTCATTTAAAAAATATTCACTTTGCTACATTTTATTAATGGGTATTTTACCAATTCTCTATTACTATCTAATTGTGCAAAAATGCTCTTTTCTAGTTTTCTTATTAAAGGCAGACTTTAAAATGAATTCAATATCCTGGCATTTGAAAATAATTATTAATTTCATGCCTACTTGCTTTCTACGTGTTTTACTCTGGAGATGTTTATATAATTCCTTTCTATTACTTTAATCCCTCAGAAATATTCACTGCTTCTCCACTATTCATGTATTTATTTGAATGTCTCAAGAATGGTCTTTCACCTTGCTCTCTCCTCCTAACCGCAGAAATCTTCATTTTACCATTAAGCTTCCAGATTTCTTTACTTATTATTATATTTTCTATGGGGGATGACTCCAGAAGGATTAAATAATTACTTTTAGAATTTACACACATGAAGAATGAATGTATGTTTTATCATTATCATTTAAACATCTCTACCTTTAGCTACAGAATTATTGGTTAATATCTTTAGTAAGGGTGTCATTATTTTGGGGCAGAATACATGGCTTAGCATTTAAAAGTAAACATTGCTCTTGCAAAAGGACCTGTGTTTGGTTCTCAGCATCACCATGCTGGTTCACAGCCATGTGTAACTCCAATAGTTCTAGGTGACCTGTTACCCCTATTTGACATCTTTGAACACTGAGCACACATGTGATGTAAATATACACATGTAAACAAACACACATACACCAGTTTATTTTTCTAATTTCTTTCTGATATTTAAAAACATTTAACAACAGAAGGAGATTTAAAAACTAATAAGCATGGAATAATTTATTCCATCAATACAGTGTGATTTTATTTTTATTTCAAATGTAAGATTACTTGAGATAGCTAAACCCAATGTATTTTATTTTTTGATATCCTCTGTGTCATATTGAGCTGAGAATTAGAGAGAAACTTAATGATTCTAGTATTCAAATATCTGTCCAGGCAGATCCCATTCCCAAATCAAACACTCCAACTTCCATCTTTACTCTGATGCTCATGTATTCTTCTTTTTTTTATGTTACTATAGGTGAATTTTTGAAATGAAAATACTGCCATATACTATGAGATTCTTGGCACTTCATCTATCAACCCTGTACTTTCAAAATTTGCAGTCTTTTTCTAACAATAATGTTAGCCCTACTAATTTTCTTTATTCTATTTGGTTGTTTCTTATCATAGTTGCATTCTACATTGCTCTAAAAATTATCAACTTAAGAAAGAAAGGAGGCATTTGGTCTCACAGTGTCAGGGTGTAGCCTTCATGGTGGAGAAGTCATGGGGCAGGAGACTGAAGCAGAAGACCACATTGTCTCTTGTTAGAAAGCAGAAGGCTAGGGATGCTGGTGCCAGGGAGCATCTTCATTTCTGTGCAATTCAAGACTCAAGAACACCCTGAGCTATGCAATCCAATCAGAGTTACCCTTCACAGACACAGCTACAGGCTAACCTAATTTAAAAAACCATCA